ATTTGTGACTAACCAGGACTGAACCTTCCGATTTCACCCGCTAATCCTCAACGTGCTAGCGGAAAGCGTTCTGGCCAAGCTTCTCCACGGAGTTCACAATCGTATCAGGGAACATAACATTTGGCCTGACACAGTTTTTTCTGCATCAGAAATATGTAACATTTGGGTTGCTTTCTAAACGCATATTCTCGTATACGACCTCTTGCCAGGCCCCAAGAATTCAGCCCACGTGCCGTTTTTTGTGGGAATGTGTTGAGCAAGTTAGTTCTGTCTACGTGGGAATGCTGATTATCTACTGTAAGAATGATGAATTATTCTTTCCCTCGTTAAGCTGTTCTACTTTTCGTCATCACTGGCGACTGACTCTTTCAGATCTGACCGCATAACTATATCTGTCGGTTCTGAGAACCAAGAGGGACGAAACCGGTCGTGGGCTGTCGAAGACCTTGTGAGTAGTGAGTAGTATCATTAATCAACTTCAGCCATGTTTGACGAAACAAGTCTCAGTCTGTGTCTAGAAACTTTCATTCCCCACTCGTTGAATTTTCATTGGGCTTGGTGGCTAAATGTAGACCAGGATCTCATAGACGTGTTCCAAACACTAGAAACAAAAGTCGTCAGATGGAAGTCTTGTCAACGTAGATAACGGGAAAAAAGAGCTAGAGCACACAAGTGACACAGTATAGAAATCAATACATACTTAATTCGCTCATCTTTAAGCCATGGAAATCTCCTGGCACTTGTTAATACTAGTGACGGGACAAATACGTATACTTCTAGGTCATCAAATAGTCTTGTGTGTATTTGAGAATATTTGGGATGGTCAATATCCAGTTAGTTCGCCGAGGATCTGCCACCATTTCGCCATGCCAGATGCGATTTTAACAGCAAACGCATACTCAGGCTGCCGGTTTTAATCGGTTTTAATTTTACCGGTAATTTTACCGGTTTTAATCGATCGTGCCACCGCAGATTATAGTGGGATTTCGCTCGGTGCCACTTGACTGAGACGTTTCGTGCAACCATCGATAAATGCATCTGAGATACCAATATTCCAACATACATAGTATTGTATAGCGCACTAAAGTTTGGCAAAGTATGCCGAAGCATAGGATAGTATAGTGTGGTGTGGTATTGCATGGTGTAGTAGGGTATGGTATAGTATGGTTGAGTATGGTTAAGTGCGTTTAACATAATCAGGTGATATACTGGTTTAATGCAGTTTATGCTCCTCAGAACTTTTGTTTTCAGGGTGGGGACTGCACAGGGTCAGTTTTTCAAACTGGCAGATATTTCCAAGGAACGATGATGGAAATTATAGCCTAACCAAGATGGCAACTGGCTGGTTATATCAAGACAACTTCGACTCATGAAACTCCCGTTGTGTTTGTATTTTTGTTTTTTTTTTGACCTGGAAGCGTAGAGCTTCATGATTTGGAGTTATACTGTCGGGCTGTCTTTGACCTGCTGTGTATGCTGCAGGAAACCAAATGATAGCTCGACGCTCTCTGGCTACTTAACGCATGAAAAGATTGCTTCGGATTCAAGGTATATATCAAGATTTTTTCTTAGGATGTGCGAACTTTCAGCTTTACGTCCATGTTTTTAGTTAACGTGTGGAATTTTAAGACTGTTACAGATTGTTTAACGCGACGTGCTTCATTGGAGGCAATTGCGAGTGTAATTTTGTCTAACTATGGGTTGGTGTGAACGTCATCGCCTTCAGCCTCGCCGCAGTTTACCGGGTACTCTGCTGTGAGTAAAGCGTTTCTGCGAACGGCTGTGTATGGAGTGTTCTCCACATGAAACGTGGTGTGGATGTTCGGAGTGAAGGACACATGACTAATGCTTTCGGAGGGTAGGGGATGCGTAGCAAGTCTTTGACATCATTTCTTGGGTTTACTGGTCCATCTTTTTCCGGTGATTGTAGCCTTCGAGAATGAACTTTTTTGGAGCTGATCTGATTTAGTCCATTTAGCTGACGATTAACGATAAATTACCACGAAATTGTTTCCCTAAGAGGGCTAGCGTGGGCCGACGCCGTCCTTATGCAGAGTGGAAGGGCACAGACCAGTTTCAGATTGCAGTGATTAGACGGTGTTTCAGGGTGACCGTTATTAAGTGTACTTTTTTTATAAAGATGGGCTATTTTTCTTCCACGGATTGGATCGATTCGCACAAGGCGATGAAAGTGAAATAAAATTTTATTCAAACACTTTTTTTATCGGAACGAATCTGCTCTCCACTGATCTTCGCCACAATCTTGATGGCTTGATGTGAAACATTTACTATTCAGGATGGGCTGCGGTAGAGAATCAGTAGGAAAGCTGCCCATAGCCCAGTCTGTCTGCAAAGTGTGCAGGAATGAGTGTATGGTTATTCAGAACTAGACATTGTCAAAGTGATCTTCTTGTGTATTTCAGACTGTCAGAACTAAGAACACAGGGGCAGAGATGAACCGTATAAGAAGACCGTATCACAACAGTGACAATTGTTTTACTGATTCGATGGATCCATCTGTATTAAAAAGCTGACTAAGTGGGTTGAAAATCTTTGGAAAATCTTTGGACAGTCTGGGTGTAAGGAGGTACCCCGAAGAGGACAGTTAGACTAAATCGGACGATATGTTTGTGCAACTTTGATAGTCCGAAGAATCTGGCTGGAACAGCCACTTTGAAGAGTCTAACAGAACCACAAGGCTTGAACGAATTTAGAGTTAGGGGGTTAGTTCAACAAATGGAGTTATCCGTAGTGGCTTCGAAAGTACAGTTTATTGGATAGCATTCTGCTTACACCCTCCTTTTAATGATCATCTCTTTTTATGATCCTGAGGTAACTCTTCCCAATCCCTGTTAGAAAGACGGTCTTGTCACGCTTCACAACTGAGATTCAAAGTTGTTTTTTCTTTGCTGATATAGAAATCTGCAATTTCATACCAATCCTCTTTTGAAAAGGCGGGAATTAGCTTCCTCGCTTGTGACTCAAGACAGAGAAAAACTTCTGCCTTCATAGCTTCATGGAGATGCTGAAATAGAGGCTGTTTTGTGATGCCGCTTTCAGCCGATGCACTTACCGCACGTGCATTCTACAGCACTGTTCCGGTGTACATGCACACCGCTGCTTCAACAGTGGATCTATACACACCCCGGGTATGTCAGTAACTCCGAGATTTAGTATACAGACACAGGTCAAACAGGGCAATCTACAGTTTAACCTTATGGTCAAGAAACTTCATTACCTCACATCTGAAAGCCCAGATAACCACCCAGATGAACAATGACCCGTTTTTTGCCTCCGCTTTGATTAAGTTTTGATTTCTTTTGTTGTTACTTGAAGAAGACTGACCATGATTGTCGAAAGTTTGGACGGTTCCAAAAACGTCACTGTAGACAGCACTGAATATCCTCCGTACTTTTTCTGGAAGCAACATTTGATCCCCAGCTTACAAAACTATCTCTGTCTCTTTCTCAGAGGTTATACATCAACCATCTGTTTTTGTGGATGTTTCGTCTCTATAAAAGATTACTTTTAAGGAAGATCACACATTTCTTGTTCTTCAATCTCCAGGCTTAGACTGGGGAACGTACTGTGAAGTGGTTCTGCGTCTGATGACACGTCCCTATACCCTCGCCATACTTGGTTGTTAGAGCTACCAAATGGACATATTCAACCAAATCTGGTTACCAGTTAGCGTAGTTACATTCTTGCAAGTAGACATTTTATGGTCAAATTTTTGGAAACACAGACGAAGGTACCGACTGCTCGGCTACAAACTACGGGAAGACACAGGTAGCACACCGATTAGGGCATTCATTTACGGATGTTATTCTATTCGGGCAATCTTTTGTCTATCGGTAATACCCTGAAAGTTTCACCCAAGAATCATCAATCTTCTGATAATCGTTGGTCATTACCACACCACACAGAGCGTTGTATCCCTATTGTGACTCATCAGATCCTCGTTCAAGCTCATCAGCTGTGAAATTTATTCGGAAGACGCACGGTCCTGTGGTCATCCGCACAAAACTTCTAATGCGAGCATCAGTTGTCTGATCCATCTACACGCACTTGAGGAATCTCGGTAGTGATACAAATTTTTCGTTTGACAAGGTAATGGGCAGCCAACGCCCTCGGTAACTCTGTCGATTGGGCATCCATCAGATGAACGGGATGTTGATGATTCGTCCATCCATGGGTGTGCCTTTTCGTTAATATCGCGTTTATACCTATGGTAGTTTACGTCAAAACCTTCCGGATGCCACATAAGATGAACGTCAGCGAACTACGCTCATGTGCATGCATGTATATGGTTTGGACGAGAGACTCACTTGGAACCCAGCTGAATCTCTCTTTTACGATGAACGTTAGATGTCACAGCTGTTTCATAGGCGCCCCGTAAATACCCATGTAAGAATCAAAATACGACGAGAGACTACTTGGAACCCAGCTGAATCTCTCTTTTACGATGAACGTTAGATGTCACAGCTGTTTCATAGGCGCCCCGTAAATACCCATGTAAGAATCAAAATACATTGTCCCTCAAGCATCTTTTTCTGTTGACTAAACCCATCTTGGTATCGGCAGTAATTTCACGTAATATCTTCTAGAAAATTATTCTGTAAAGTCGAAAGGTAAACCACTTTCTAGCTAAACTACAAAAAAGCAACTTTGACGATTCAAATGATCGTTTTGGACCCATATTGCAGCAACATTCTAAGAAACATCAAGGCCTGTGAAAACCTCGGCCTCTGGTTGGATTGTTCGAACAAGTATAAGGTAGGCATTTCTTGTAATCAAATCTACTCAAACTCAAGAAATAGTGGAGGGTTAGAAGACGTTTGGAATGTTTAATAGGACATCTACCGATGCCTTTTTGTTGCACGGTCTAATGTAAACAAAAGATCTTTTTGTGTTTTCATACTGCGTTCCAGCATCTCTCAAGGGGAGGTGAGTGTATAGGAAAAAAATCAAATGCGATTTGACCAGTATGAAAAACTCACCACTCCTTGGATGTCCCCCGATAAAGACAAGGGCTTGTTCTCTCTGTCGCACTTCACAGTCCTGCAGAACGACTGACGGCTGAGAGCGGAGGACCACAAAATAGCCAAGACACATGAAGGTACAGCAGACGATGCAACATTGACCGAAGCATTTCTGATATGCTACATCGGAAACCAACAAAGTAAAGGTGTTTAGTTGCTGTTCGTTTCAGAAGAGAAGCTATGATTCGCTGGTGCGTTTAGTATGCCAGTGTTTGAACAGGCAAACCTACAAGCGTGGGATATCGTGATCGGGAGGTGGTTGCCGCCTGCATCACCAGAGTTCTTATTCGGCATCCTCTGCTGGAGGTTTTCGGAGCACAGTAACTGTATTTCACCTAAACACATCGCTTTTAAACGCCTCGAACAGAAAGTAACCAATCGCTGGACACAAATAATACCTGTGGTGGAAAGTCCCACGAATTAATTCACCACAGAAATACGCGGTAAATCTGCCATAATTGACTCAGATCGTTCCTGTTCAACAAGACAAAAATACTCAGGACAGCAGCTTCGGGTGAATTTGACCAGGATTTGGGTTTGGCATCTGATCTCATTCTTAGGGTTTGTAACGCCACAAAGTTGGGCAATAAAAAGAGTTAGTGTTAAAACTTTGAAAGTAGGTGTGAGCAACGCAAGAAACGAGGTGAAAAAACTGCGACATTCGGAAGTAACCCAGGGGGGTTGATTCCGTTATCTACAGAGCTCAAGATTAGACACAAAGTTACTTATCTGATGACCCATGATTCGACTGTAGCCCTAGCTTCTTTCGAAACGTGGATTTCTGCTGCTGTCTTGCATAAAAGCCTTCCATCAAAACAGTCTTAGAACAAAAAAGATCGTTTCAGAAAGTGTCATTGGCAGAATGGAAATAATTCGCCTCGGAAACACGAACTGCAGACAGGTTGTTTCTAATTTGAAACCAGTCCAATTCGGACGGTTGCCACCAGTATGACGGCCGTTTTTCATATGCTTACATAAATTCTCCCCGCTATTATGATTCAATGTGTCACTCAGCCTCCTTCAGGTATGCCAATAGGCTCCAATAAGCTCGCTTACCCGTTCGATCCGTTTGCGGATAAGTGGAGTTCGGGCATCACGGTAAGAAAAGGTTGGAAAACATTCTATATATATTCGTTAAACTGAAAATACGCTTTGGACTCTCTTTAGCGTTTCAGATGAAAACCTGGTTCAAAACGTTTTAGACAGTTTTCCTGTTGCCGCAGAAATTTAGCTGTTTGAGGACTTTGCCCAGGGGACAAGAACACCAACGTTTTCACAAAAACTAACTGGAAGTTTATGTAAGGGAACGTTTTTTCCTATGATCAATAAGTGTATGAAATGTCGCTCTGTGCTCGAGTGCGTATTGTGAAATCACAAATTTGACTTGCGCTGATAGACATCGTTGGCTGACCTTGAAACGATATGTTGTTATCTAGATAACCAGCTTATCTATTCAGCTAAATGTAGGTCCTGAAAAGCTTTTCGAGTTTTGTCTGAAATCGCACCATGCCTGTGCCGGGTTGTAAACCAGCCAGTCTAAGGAAGAAGGCCCGTGTGTAGAATTGGCGGGAACCACCAGTAAAAAGGTCAAACAGCAGCTTAGGCTAAGTGACCGAAGGGGCATCTGAAAATCCGGGAAGCAGTGAAGAAATCTCCCATCCCTTTTTGGAATCATCAGCTGCGTACACTATAAAAATTTCAGAAGAATTTCAAACCTTCAACACTGTGCTCGATTCTAGGGTTTTCAAACCCCTTAATTCCCTTTATGATTCCAGTTTAAAACCAAGCTGCACTATCCCCGGTTTGTTTACACACAACACAACTTAGCGCAAATTATTGAGCACAGAACAAGGCCAACAGTACCATGACGAAAGTGAGAGGGTTTAATTCTGTACACTTTGCGCCTCGAGGGAATAAATTCAGTCTTTTTAACTAGAGCTATTAATGGTCCAAATTGAATTAGGTGCAGTGTACGTAACAATTGAACCGTCTAGTGATTTATGTTACCGAAGTGACACTGGTATAGATACAGATTACTATACAGGTTCTATAAATGACATATATCTGGACAGACTTTGCGGGCCAGCATCAATAAAGTTGGTGAACGACTGTGCACATGTGGAGGGTCTTAGATCGAATAAGATCGTGGACGAGTGCGCATTTTAAGTCATGGTCGCACAACAGTCAGCATGGGTACCAGTTACTAGATTCTTATTCAGGTATCGGCGCAATCCGTCAATTCTTCTTCGCTTCCTATTAGAGAACTGAAGAAGCCCTCCCGTTTTGACCCATGGTCATAGGCTATGGCAGACGGTGTATCACGTGACACGAATGATCAGGCCTAAATCACCACGTCATTCGTGATGTGACCAATTTTAAGGTACACTGCCTGCCTAAGAGTATCGTAATCAACAATGATAAGTTCATTCTTTTACAGCCTTGGATTCGCTGGTTTCACTACCCGATAAACCCGATTAGTGTGAACAGTCTTCAATTTATATCAACGTGATGCACTACTTGTAAGATCGCTGAAAGCTATTCGACAGCCCACAAACGGTTTCGCCCTTCTTGGGGCTGGCTCATCAGGTCGGCACAATCCCCGAGTTCCTGTTCTACTTGCACTCATTTTTATACCAATTTTTATACCAATTTGGTTGTGACCTGTAATGCATCTGAACCTCTCGTTTGTGCCATTTTTAAGGTTAAAAACATTCGGCTGCATTCCAGGTAGTTCTCCCCCCCCCCAAAAAAAAACAAGTTGGTATGCAAATGAGTGTATTGAGCTAGTCATCGGTTTGCTTTTAAACACATCTAAACCTTGTTTCTGGGCCTAAATCTCTCCAGCAAGCACCTATACATAAATAACGTTTGTCCTGCCACTGGCAACAGCTGTATGACGTCTTGAATTGCACCTGATCTGGAGAAAAAAGTGCGCACTCATCAAGGAATTCATCTGTATCTGTTCGTGTCAGACGTGAATGGATCTCAAATAGCTCAAGCGTTTGACGGTCCTGGAGAGACTGTTAACCGACGCATCCGGAGGCAGGAAAACACACTTATGTTGACGCTAGACTCCTACCCTTGTGGGGTCAGATGAATCGATGACGCACCCAGCTTGAGCGGCTGTTGCATACACATTGTTAGGTTTGCGGAACAAGTCCCCAACGGGAACAAAAGCCAAGTGCACACAGACAGAAAAAAATACTATGGCCATCCAGTAAAGCTATTCCCTGTGTTTCATATCGCTTGTAGATTTACTGAGGGACGGTTTCCGAACGATGGATTCGTTCCTTCAACCCGGGCGTAAATTACCCGTTTGCAAAGATTGCACGGATCATAACATCACAAGGCTGATCAGCAAAGTGATATGAGTTATTTCTTCCTGCCGTTCCGTTGGTCTTCAACTACCAAGAGAAGATGCAATTAATTGCCTGAACGCTATCACCTCTTTGCTTCATTCTGTAAGTTCGTATGACTTTGCTTCGGTCTGAAAATTTATGTCCAACAGACGACCTCACATCGGTTTAAAGTGAAATCGCTTGCACTTCATCTAATCTGAAGCGGCCTGACACATTTTCCGAGTTATTCCTGAGCTTAGTCGTTGCTCATGCTTTATTCTAACTGGAATTTCTTAATTTGAATCCAACCTACTATTTGGACACAGTTTCTGCACATTATCACTTCTGGACCATATTCAAATGCTTTTGTTCATGGGACGGGCCTCACGACATATAACTGGCACTTGTTTTACATTTGAATAAAATATTCAGGGTATGTAAATTGCCTTCGCAGTTATCTCCTCAGGTTCCTTTGCGAAGTCCAACTGGAAGAGCCAAGTTGACTGACCATAGTTTTACTTTGTAGCTTACAGTTTTGAGCTTAAGTTAGCTCACCCATCAAAATGAAAACATACAAATACGAGGATTCATGGTTTTTACCCAATTTCGACTTCTCGACTCCTGATGTTCGCGTTTGAGCAGCATTTCAGACATCATACGCCAAAAAGCGCCACGTCTGAACACATTGTTTTTTCAGTTGCAGTTACCTCATTCAAGAGCGCCTCAACACTGGAAAGATAGTCTCATCTGGGAATTATTCACAAGACTAGTCGGAGCTGGCCGGTTCTGGAGAGTACTTTTTTCTGGGGAAATTGTTCGTAGAGGGTCGAACGTATTGATCGTTATTAGCGATAAATCTGGTTTTGTTACCATTATCTTTACATGATTTTGAACTGTATTCAAAGATTTTTGGTGTCTTTGGTGTTTTGGATATATTTATAGATGAAATTTCAGGTGGTGTTCTTTTTGCAAACATTTTCACTTCGTCCCATTACCTAGGAGATTGTTGCAGCATCACATCACAACAAGTGCTATTTTGGTCGTGAACTTTCAGTTTCGACGTTTTGAAAGAAAGATTCGCCTTCGGTGAGAAGCGCCGCTTTCTAAAAGCCTAAACGTACGTGTTCGGTAATATTTTATCGATTTTATCAATTCCTTGCAACATTCCCCGTATGTTTATTCGACATTGTGTTTCACACTTGTACGAACACGCATGATATCTAAACACCTAAATTGAAAGTATAATTTCCCGACTTGCAAAGAACAACGCTGCCTCTCACAACCCCGACGAAAGAGGTTGATCCAGCACAGGGGCTCACATGGAAGTTTAACAGCACTGGATGAGTATATATTTGTGATGTACTACTCATAAGGTTGCTGAAAATCCATCGACAGCCTGAGAACATCATAAACGGGAGATTCGGCTGGGTTCCAGGTGAGTCTCTCGAAAGAACCAAATTAGTTTGCAGATGAGTGTATATTCGCTAAGTACTGGATGAGCTTTTAGTGACATTGAGCAAATACATTGACGTTTGGCCACCAGTTCGCACTCAAATCCGAAAAGGGCATTTGTTCATAGAATAAAACCGACTGATTGCTGATCTTCCATGAGAACATTTCAGGCAAACCTCCTCCCCGATGCTCTCCAAGTCGATCGACTTAGCCTCTAAGAAGCTGGTGAGAAACTCAAATGCGGGTTGGCTCTCAATCGACTGATAAAGTAAGCGAAAAACGCTCGATTTAGATGTGCTACTTTGATTGCCTGGTATCGGCGGATAAGTTCCACATCCGACTGACCAAAACGTCGCAAAAAAGTGTCCTTATCTCATTTCATTAAGACCTGAGCCGACAAGCTTTTACGTCCACATCCGCTGACCAAAACGTCGCAAAAAAGTGCCCTTATCTCATTTCATTAAGACCTGAGCCGACAAGCTTTTACGGTCTCTCTGTTCTGCGTAGCAAGTAAAAACTGCGGAATCCTCAGGAATCTTTGTTTGTTTTGAGATTTTGAGATGCAATTGAACATACTGTCCTAGCTACCATAGAGAAAAGGAGCCAGAAGTTACCCATCGTGGTGTTTTGTGAGTTGCAGAAAAGACTTCCGTATTCTGTTATTTAAAGGCTCACAACCCGACGAAACTTCTGATGATCAAGTGTCATTTGAGCTGCTCCATCTTCGTCGGCGGTACAGAGAACGCGGTTATCATCTCCAAAGTAGGGCAACTGTATTCCGAAAAGCAAGTGCTGATTTTACTGCATTCTACGTCATACAAAATCAACGTGACATTTTTGTGAATTCTATGCATCCTTTCAGTTATTCAACTCGGTCTAGAATGCAGCTGATGAATATGGGGAGGGCTTTTATGACTGAAGCTACGCAAACCTATTTGAGCGGATGGCATCTGCATACATCAGAAAATCTGAGGTATGAGGGATGAGCAGAGTGGATATACCGTGGTCTATTAAGTAAGGCCCAAGTAAGGTCTACTAAGTAACTGAACAAGACACTGGGCTCATTTCTTCATTTCGTCGACTTGATTCAAAACGGAGTCGAGCCTACCATGTTGATCAGTCGACTGTTCACTGATGGTTGCCTTCAGAGTGTGTAGGCTTTGAATGTAGGACGGTCACTTTCCTTTTGTTATTTACTTACATTTTGTTACTTACTTACTTTGTACTACACTGAGAACCTGTTTGTATTCCTACGTTCGTCTCCACAGAACTCACACCAGACTACAGCAAAAGTTCCTTCCACTGAATTCGCCTCTGCCGACTAAATAACTGGTGTTTGGGTAACCGAGGCCTGCTTGATTCCAGCCCCATTCACAATTACAGCCACGCAGCTGTGACTGCAATCACGACAACTGCAGCCAAAACGACAATACTAGTTACAAGAGCCCCTAAGGGTGTTCAAGCCGATACGCATGCCGTATAGATTGACTACAGGTGATAAAAATGAAGACGTTGGGTAGCTATTCCTGCTTGGTAATTTTCCGTGTTTTCGAATTGCATTCAGGGCAGAAAAGTCGTGCACTAAGAAAGTGGCGTATCGCGAAATTCCAACTGATCAGTAGCTAACTAATCAGTGTTTTCGGATAGATTTTATCTAAGCTGGTAAAGGTGCACATGTGACTGATGGGCATATTCGTGTAGGGAAAATTGGCCGTCGCAAGTAACTCATGAATAATGCTCACTGACGAATATGCTCCTAGAAGTAGATTTAAGATTGTGCAATTAGTATTTTTGTGCGCAGTCTCCGCGGTTGTACCAATGGGTGTTTTTAAATGTCTCACTAACCACTTAGACTCACAAAGAAACTCGCACTCATCTGCTTGCGTATCCGAAGAGAATTAGAACAGTTAAATGCTCTAGTTGCAAGGGCTTGACAACAGCTGAGATTCACTTGAAATTGTAAATAGTAGAGCGCGGCACAACTCAAACGTTACAGTGTCCACTCACGCACACTTATTATCTGGTCTTCACGTTAACATATCGAACATACCAACCACACTTGAGCGAGTAGTCTATACCAGTCTATACCGGGTCAAGTAACGTGAACTGCGTGACTGAAGTGTGCGTGCTGTCATATACTTAGAAAAAACCCACCAGTCAGCAGGTCAACAGAGGGTCACTGAATGGATGCTTGCGTGCTCCAGCTACCCCAACGACAGGAATAGTGAAGACTGAATTCATCAGCAAGGTGAAATCCTACAAGAAAGATAAACAAATGGTTTCATTCTTTCGTCTGTGTATCGCGCTCGGGCGGTACCATGGATTTCAGAGTCATAAAACAGCTGCTTTCGATAACTTTGTCAGCAAAGTTTTCTGCCAACGTCATCTGACCCATACATAGTCTTTTTGAATGCCTCTTTTGAGAACAACCCATGAATCATCGTGCACACTGTTTTTGTAAGTGATCTCATTTGGTGAAGTCTGGAGTTGAGGGAAAACATAAGTTACTCAAAAAGATTTCGCATTCCAAATTAGTCTCAAAACTTTGGTCACTAAACAATAAAATGGTCTGTCAATGTGACAGTACTGACTCAAGTGACCTGGTAGTGCATGAAATAAGCATAACACTTGGGAAACTGATGGGGTTCTGCTATCATCTGTAAGCGAGCGAAACCAAAAATGAAGCCACAAGTGCATCCTATACGAAAGTCTCACTCGAGTATTATCACCCTCTTTTTCAAGGTCACCAACAATGACACAGTTGACATAGAACATATGGGTAAAGCAGGATGTGACCGGTTCCAGAAAGAGTGCTATTTCACTGGACAGTAAAAGATAACCCTCACCTGGCGAGAGACACATTCACACGAAGTGGCCCGAATAAGCAACTCTTCTCTGATGATTCCTTGGTTCTAAAATGATCACCAAGTCAGCTGTTCAAAAGTACAAAATTCGCTCTGAAATATTAGTCGGCTGGCACTTATACACCCGTTGCATGATTTGGGAAGCCTAAATAAGGTCATTTGTGTACAGCCAGTGGCATTTAGTCAGCAGTAAGAGGAATTAAGGCCGGACGCGGCCTAAATACGACGCTTGGTTGGGCAAACTTATTCATAAGAACGAAGAACGTAGCGAACAAAGCTTGTTTTCTGTGATTGTTTCCCTTGGCTAACACATCAAAAATTCATATGGTAGCAGAAATCACGTGGAAAAGGTTAAGATCAGGGCTATTTACACTTTAGAGAAGTGAAAATCAAATGAGGGGGGAAGAATGAAGCATAGGTCAATGGGTCACGGAATCAGGTAAGTGACGTCAATGTCAGACAGACTCTTGGCACCGGATGTTTCGTAGGCCAGTTCAAGTTCAGAGCTCGCACAAGTTTCTTTTGGATGCAAAGTTGCGGATCCAGCAGTCGTCTCTGCGATCGATATTAGACTGGATCGTGCCAGTCGTGATTGGTTCAGGGGTACCCGGTATATGATGGTGAAGGCTTGCTCCTTGTCTATGACATGACTGGTTTCAATCAAATTTGATGCAATCGCGCTTGAGCCTGGTTTCTTCCCACTACAACTCAGAGATACGGGATTGTGTTCTCGCATTCTGTCCGACAAATGCCTTGCCCTACGACCAACGTAGGATGCTCGGCACGAGCATACGAATGAGTACACACAAAAGCTGGTGCTGGAACGTGACAATTTGTCCTTCAAGTAGAATTTGATAGTGAGTCTGGAGTTGAGGCTCAAACATAGATTAGACTGCATCACATTTGGCCGAAACTAATCATGTCATAGACAAGGAGCAAGCCTTCACCAACATGTACCGGGTACCCCTGAATCGATCACGACTGGTACTATCCAGACTACTATCGATCGCGGAGACGATTGGAATCCGACTACTAGATCCGCATGTTTGCATCCAAAAGAAACTTGTGCGCGCTATGAATTTGAAATGGCCTACGAAACATTGACTGACGTCACTTACCTGATTCCGTGACCCATTGACCTATCCCTCACCCAACCCCCCTTTCTTTTGATTTCTGCTTCCCTAAAGTGTATGTAGTCCCGATCTCAACCTTCTCCACGTAATTTCTGCTACCATATAAATTTGTTATGTATTAGCCAAGGAGGACAATCACCGAAAACAAGCTTTGTTCGCTTGTTCTCATGACTACCACGGGTATGTTCAGCCACTTGAGACAAACGTATTCACTTCGGAGCGATGTGAGTGGCTTAGCCGAAGGCCTTAACGACGATCCTGATTGGTCAGTCAGTCAAGACTTTTGTGACCACGAATTCTTCAGAATTGTGGAATAATCTACAAGCTTGTTTTGAATTCGTAACTGGCCATCAGTTTGGCGTCGTCAGTCATTGGCTTATGCTACTCACGGTATGAAAGACCCTGTGGTCGGAATAGGACCTCTTAAATTACAACATAAAGACGACCTTCGTCCCGGGGTTAGAAAATCGTAAAGTCTGTGCTCAAAATACCAACCCAATGGTCTTGAAAAATGATTCGCGAACAACTCACTGTGACGTGATGAACAGTCCGGCAGTCTACTGGTAATTTTTCCATATTTCGGTACGTTACGATAGAAGGAATCGGATAACTCCTGTGCAAGCCGTCCTGAAGTAAAATATGAGGAAAGGGTTCGAAATAAATCTTCTTTTGGAGATCTTCGTGGCATAATTTTGAAGAACAGAGATCAAGCAGGGGACATATCTAAGTGTCTCCTCATCAGACTCGGATACATATATATATATATATACATATATATATATATATATACTAATTCATAAAGGTAAAACAATACCACTATTTCAACTGTAACATCCTTTCATGGACTGGCCGGCATGTTACGCAAAGGAATTGCGAGGGTTGAGATACTGCCAAATTGCCCGAGCCTAGACAGAAGCAGTCAAGATGCTGAGGTTGGGTTCGAACTATGGGCCTTCCAATCAGTATTTCGCACCTTAAACGCTGACATATGTATGTATATGTGTACATTTAAATACAATGCATAATCGTAAATACGTACGAAGATAATATTATCGATAGGGTGCGAGAAATTCGTATGCGAAATAAAAATCGAATGGAAACTACTCACAAGGTTGCTGAAAACTCTTCGACAGCCCACGACCGGTTTCGCTCTTCTTGGGGCTCATCAGGAAGGCGCAGCCCCGGTTTCCGTCAACCTCATGATCTACTTGAACCCAAGTTGTACTGTTTTCGCGAAATACACTCATCTGCAAATCCATCTGGTTTTCACGAGAGACTCAAATGAATCTCTCGTTTATGATATTCTACTACGGAATGTATTGCACACAGGCCGCCTCATGATTCAGTTGGCACGAATCTTCTTGTGCAAGATTACCCTCTTATTTTCAGACCACTAAAACACCCGTCAACGAATTAGAATACCCAAAAATGTCCTGGTTCATTTCGGAGTAATTAAGAATCCTGGTGATTGTATAATAACTTTACCGCTCAATATTTCCCAATCTTCCGTCAGTCACACACCAAAGCCAATTTTAATGCATGCACTCGCTTCAAAAAGAAACTACTGCTGGTGGTCGTTGGCTTGTTCGCTGAGCTGGGCAATTTGATTGCAAACGTTTCATCACCAATCGAGGTGAAACGTTTGCAATCAAATTGCCCAGCTCAGCGAACAAGCCAACGACCACCATCTACGATACCTGAGCTACCAACATTTTCCTCTATAGAAAACTACTGCTTGCCGGAAATTTCGCTCAAAGTAATTCCATGCCCTTCCTCTTGATAGATCTTCTAATTTGTTGAATTGTCATGCTTAAGAGTCCCCGCGCCTGGCCCTTTCGTGTCGAATGATTTTTTCTTGTGGTACCGTCATATAAATTAATGTCAAAGGTTAATCTTTGAGTGTAGTGACCTAATGCGTGACAGAAAATTGTCTATAAAATAGATTGCAAGCACTGGAAATCTATCCCTTTGTCAAAAAATGCAAGCGGGACAGAAATGTTAATCTGACGGGTAGCTAAATATTCATCGGGAAAATCACTTTTCATATGATCAAGATCATCCATTTCTTGTAAATGAACAGCGACAAAGGTGTTCTGAAGAATGATTGTAACCTTCAACCTGACTGAGATTACAAATCAGGCCGAATGTTCCCAGTAAAACAGGTCTTCCATGCATTAGTAGCCAACTCAGTTGCCTTGGTAACAGTGAAGATGGGTCTGCGCGAAAACTGGTGTAGCTATCGATTTAATCGAACAACGCATGTATTTAGACCGTGGTGATACCAACCGAATCGTAATGATTTCATGTTGACATGGCAACGTCCAACAGACAACCAGTCTCATGGGAGTAACATTTAATTTGCTGCTTGAGATGAGAAGTGAGGAAACGGCTGAGAACTGACTGTCATATGCCTGAGTAACTATAGTGAATAGGGTATTACGTGCCTCCTAAGTAGAAAAAACTTCCAGGGTCGAGCAGGCTTGCTGGCCATTTAGAAGTATTCTATTTCCGGGGTATAAAAGTAACGTAGGCAAAGATAAGATAGAACCCGTCAATTCACCTGAATATCTTGGAGGTGCGCGCTTCAAAGTTGTTTGCCTGAGAAGTCCTTGGGAAACCCCAGAATACACCTTCAAAATGGGTGTGCACTATTTTAACCACGTTTCACACAAACTGTATCGTAAGCCTACTGCGTGTACCTGCTGAAATTTCATCTGTATCTGGGTTTATTAAACAGCAGTTTTGACGGGGGGGGGGGGGGAAAAAGTTTTTAGTTCTTCTGAAATGAACTCTCAACAAAACTTATACTTGTGCATAGCATTCTGGCGCAATATGGCTAACCGTTCAGTGATCGCCACACCATCACAAACTGTTGTTGGTGCACCTTATGAAGTTGGAATAATGACCATCCCCAAACAACATTGTTGAGCACAATACACGTTCATACACGACGATTAAAGGCGAATAATGGTATTTCGATGGTCACTGAGTCCTTCAGCTCTCAACTCATCAGTCTAGTCGTGAAATGTTCTAACGCTGGCCATGTCAAATTAAGTCCAGCTAATGTGGTGAGTTACCGTATCAGCTGTGTTAACGGAATCAGCTGTTTCGATGATTATAACTCGTTGGTAAATCAAGGTCAACAGTTTAGGACATTCCGAGTGTAATGTTACCTCTTGAAGAGTAGAAAGACCGTGCCGGAGTCCGGAAAACATCTTTTTCGACTATGTCTTCTTGAGAATAGTTATGATAAAAAAATTTCAAGTCTCCATTTTCTCTTATGAATGAAAGTGCTTTCACTGAAGAAAACATTCGAGGTGGTTATACTTTGCTGACAGGTAAATTTCAGCCTGCTTTGAGACCCAGCACGAAATCTTCATAGGAAACTTATATTTCGATCAACAAACTCTTGTCCGGAAATTCAACCTCCTTCCGGACAAAATTTCTGTGCGTCTTTTGATAAAACACATGAGTTAGAATAACCCACCTACTGACAACTAGCAGAATTTCTCGTCCCCATTCTGTGTGATCATTCAAATTCAGAAAATTTTTCTCATGTTCTAAAAAAGCACACATTTCAGGGGAGTTGTCTTGCAAATTTGTCCCATCACATTCTTCCCTCAAGGAAGTAGCCGTTGCTTCAGAAACATACGATGGATGGTTTCGCTCAAATGAAGGAATAACGTGACAGCACTCAGTTTTCAAATGACACTGACTTATTGTTCCATTTCGTGATTGCTCTTCAGTCTCGCCAGCGATCTGTTTTGCTATTCAACCGTAGAGTGTGTACGGCACTTCCAGTTGTTACAGTCGAAGTTAGAGCAGGAGGAATAAACCTAGGAGGTCAATTTGATTGGATGAATACATAAACCCCTATTTTTCCCATGCTATTTCGCCTTTGAAGAAGCTTTGAATAATAGCTGGATATCAGTTACACATTCCGGTAACAGGCCAAAACGATAACATTTTTTTATTTGTCGTGCTCTTCCAAAAGACACTCTTGTCGAAGGCTTCCGACAGTATGCCCTCAATGGATGGATACTGTATTCCGAACATCGGTTTCACTTAACAGCTTATCAAATAAACTACTCTAAACCACCACTTATTACGACAAACGCTTGTCCTTTGCAGATTATTTGGCTCGGTTTTTCAAGCGGTTCACATCGAACCCTTGCCTATAGGCGATCCAGGTTTGTATCCCTGTATGGGCACCTTCAAGCTGAATTCCATTTTTCTGATCAAAAATTGTGCGTAAATATTGTTTCATAAACAAAAGACGATTTTCATTAAGCAGCACTTGAAATGACCGAGTTGATTCTTAGGAACAGACTACATTTGTTCTACGAAGCCTGTGAATGATTTCCTGACTTGAGAATCAGTGAGTCCGATTCGACTACTCATAAGTGGTCAGGGTGTTGATAAACCCAAGTATAGATTGATTTTATCAGGTCCAGACTGCCTTTTGGCAACCCGTAACTTTCACTTCGATTACATGCTGCGATATAGCAGAAGTCACGTGGCAAAGCTATTTGCAGCAGCTATAGCTTATTGTTGATTCTTGAACAGCCCGACTATTTACAAATAACTGACCTGCCCAAACAAGACGCGATTTTCGACGATTGTCTTGGCCGAGCATTCTAACTCAACATTTTGAACTAACATTGAGGAACTCTCGACTCCCACTCCCCGTTGCCTAGATGATGAATCCAAATTGATGAACAAGGTCTCCAGGGGTTAGTAAACTGACCACTGTATCAGTTTGTTGATGCGGCGTTGTTACAAGTCAACACCGATCCCAGATAAAAGGTAATTTAGGCTTTACGTTTCGAGTTTCACCAGGTTCCAGGTGCTAGCATCCAACTACGGAGTAGTTTGTCGAATGTAGTGAGCGGATAGCTTGGAAACTAGCGCTGTTCAAAAACTCCACAGGACTTCACTGAGTCTAATTATCACACTGTATCTGCGTCAACAAACTAGTCAAACTAATTCACTCGATAACTAACGCACTTGATGTTTTCCACGTGTTTCATCAATCATTCAGAGTGGACCATATTGTTTACATGATGGAAGGCTTAATGTCGACTTTTGTGTTTTCGTTCAAACCACACGATCATCCGTCAAGGCCAGTTTTTTTAAATGGACAATGAACGCCTGTCGAGGAAGCTACTGCCATAGGGATGATGCCCGTTGTGTATTCGAATTTCGAAGGAAACCATCCGTATTCAGTCTGGAAACAGCGGTACGTAAATGAACTACAGAGGTCGCTGAGGACGAAGGTTACCGACTGTGAAAGGAAGGAGCTGAGCTGGTGATGAGTATGTCTCTTCTGTCAATAAGAGACTACCAAACTCTGACTTGGGGGGAGGGGCTTGTGTGTCTCTGTAATCAAATGAAGCATACCAGTCGGTTTACATGTGACAGTCTCTCCTACCATATTAGGTAGGATCCCTAATTTTAGAAGTTTGGACGTTTGTGACAACATGGTTCCAAAGATAAACGCTACCTGATTGTGATTCCGACCGTTCTAATTTCGGTGCCAAAACAGTATCCCGCACAACATACAACTGTTAATCACCCAACTAAATGGTCTTTCCAACAAAAAGTTTCGTTCAGTCGTCGCAACTAAC